GTGTTTGAAGTTTGGACTAACCAAGATCTTTCAAATTTTGTTGGTGGAATGGATGGTAATCTTTTGGGACGAGGTGGAAAAAAATATGGGTTAGGAAAACGATCGGCACCCATCTTACTCAATGTTGGGTACATCTATCTCAATTCCAGTTTAATAATATAACATAATGTGAAGCTAATATAAGATAATCTTCATGTATGTGGGCGTGATTTGCCATGCGAGGAGTTTCTTTTTCTGTTACTTCATATATAGTTTTGCATATCCTCAGCACATGATTCCATTGCAAAATCCTCTTGGGGGGAAGCAATTGGACAGCACACGCCACATGCGCAAAGTGAAGTGCTACAAATCTGGTATTGAACATGAAAGGCTTGGTTTTCTTCTACTCTATTAAGTTGTGTTGCTTGACAATAATGTAATATATAATTCCTTTTCTTTAGTTCAACTGTTGTGAGTGTTAGACATGGTGACATTCTGTTAAACGGTCTTTTCCTCGTAAAAAATCAAAATCATATCATGTTTTGGGGGGACACAATTAAGTAAGTAGCAAGACAGGTTTTGATTTCCCCGCTCTAATACAAGTTGGTTTTGAAATAAAATTGGCTTAGAGAAATTGGGTCCGTTGTTTCGCAATGAAGTGTGGTCCACCTGGGAATGAAGTTGCTTGAATTGAAGCTGACAGGGTAAGTGGATAGGGATTAGAGGCCTTTTGTTTGTATTTGTAGGGATAGATTGGGCAAAGCAAGTGGTGAAAAGGTGAAACAACCAAATATTTATGTTGGGAAAAAGTAGCCAAAACAAAAAGCAACTCGAGTTGAAAGGCCAATTAGTTGACCTTTTTGAGTTTGAGTTGTAAAGCCATGGACTGTGCCTGCTGTAAAGCCCCTACCTGCTTACCATTATTTTTTATACCTGCTTACAGTTCTTGAAAATATTCTTATTAGCATAGCAGGTAGATTTGATCATCAAAAATAGCATAGCAGATAGATTAATAAAAACCTAATTGGATTAGATCTTAATCCAGCCGTTATGCATACAAACATGGGAAGTGATAGGTTGTTGAGTCATGTACACAATTATGATGATGCAGTGATTAGATTATGGAGTTGAATTATAAAAATATTGAAAATGGATATGGTTGTGGACAAAGAGGGAAAAAGTGAAAGAGTAATGCCACCTTTTTTTAAGCATAAATTGACTGACGTTCACATCTCTTTTGTTGCAGAAGAAACAAGTCGTACCAAATGAAATGATTCTCTTTCGCTTCACCACCGCCTGCTTCTTTCATCCTCCTTTGCCAAACCTTCATTCCTTTTTCTTACTTTAATCGTCACAACTTCAATACATATAAATACCTACAGCTGAATCTTAATTCAGTTAATACTTTACACTTTTTTAAAATTCAATAATAGTTTAAATATAAAAGTTTTGATAATTGTTATAATTAATTTTAAAAATTTAAAAGTTTGAGCCGATAATATATATTTTCTATTTTGGATATTGATATGGGAGCCATGATTGACTAATATCATCAGCGTTCTTTCGTCCAGAGAGGGGCCCATAATTTAGCAGCTCATGTTTCTCTTGTTTTTTGGCTCTCAATGAATGAATTCCTTGTCCTGCAACTCAAACCACACAAATAAACAGAAAACAAGTGCAATTGCCTGTTGTTGAAAGACTCATAGAATAAATGGCATAATTGAATTTTACTGTAAATACTAAATAGTAAGATTAAAAATATGATATGGAATTGATATTTTAATATAAAAAAATCCAGAAATAATTTTAGAGATGGTCTTGCTGATGGGTTGAAAGTAGCTAAAGTTAGGTGACAATTGGCACCGCCTTTCAATTATATGATCATTCGTATAAATTTGTCTCTGTCTAATCCTAAGGTTCATGGAAGAGCCTTCTTAACACATTTCCCAATCAAAAAAGTTTGGGATTCTCTTCCAACAGTTTCCTTCTTTCCTTTATAAAAAAGTTTACAAGAATCCACCATATCATGCAAATCAAGATGGAAAGTAAGATCTTGCCTTTGAATTTAATTTAAATGTACCTTATATATTATTTAACAAGGGAAAAGTTGAAGTACTTTGAACAATGGAATGTATGACCGTCGAAAACAGATTAAATAAAAGAAGAATTTTGGGTAAATTTTGACTAATGGCAATGAAATGATTGATCCAAGTTTGAATTACAAGCGTAAGAACGATGGGTTAGCAACATTCTCTGAACACGATCCGATTTACAGCTTAGTTTGAATACACATGGGCCACGCCACAAAGCATTCATGCGACGCACATCACCGTCCCATGCTAACCCAACCGGTTATTCTCATTATTGTATGTGTCCCACAAATGGAAATTCAAACCCACATGTGAAACGCCTATCGGCACTTGTCGTCGTAATTACAACCCAGGAAAAATAAAATGTAAAACTAAATGCGAGGAAGAATAGAATTTCAAAGATGCCGGCCTTTTCTTTCTTGTTTTGCAGGGTTCCTTAGTGGATAAACACTGGCCATTATCTAGTCCAAGATTTGGGATGGATTTAGGAACCTAAACTTGTTGGATTTGATAATAATGAAATAAATGGTCGCCGTTCTTTTCACCACATTCTCAAACTTTCCTTTTTCATTTCCCTTTCTATGATGCTGAAGCTGAAAAAGCTCCACAATTCCATTACTTCCAATGGATGTACAAGAGTCATTCAAAAGCCATCCCTACAGAACATATGCACATTCATATTTCATGGTTTTAATATATATAATATCGGCTCAGATGTTATTGTGAAATTTCAAATATCATATTAGTTATCAAAGAATTTTAGAAACAATTAGGATAAATTAAAACTTTAAATATTATAAAATCTAATTAAAATATATCATAACTTATTATTGAATATAACATACCTAAATATTGATAATAAATGAGAATAAATTGAAAAATTCAGTATGGTCTAACGAGACAAAAAAGTATATAAGGTAAGAAGAAAACAATAATGAAACATTTAACAAAAATAACATGTATATTGGATTAACGAAATTTAACTCAACAAAAATACACGACAATTTTTAAAGTATAAATAACTATAATATGATTGAATCATCAGAAATCATCTAAGATATTTTAAATTTAACGTCCAAGTAAATACTATTATGGGTATGGGTGAGTATTTGATTGAGCCTGATTAAAAAACTTGATTTATTCAAGTTGATGAGCTATATTTTATAACTCAAACATCGTTTTTAAATTTCTATTTAAATTTAATTGTAAATCTTTATAATGTAATGACACTATTTGATTTCAGTTTAGACAATTTTCTATAACCATATACTATATATATATTTCTTCAATTTTTTCATACGTGATATACATATATGATGAGACCACAGTTAAATTTAAAATCAATCAACTAATTACTAAAAATTTTGAGTTATCGAGATCCATTAATTGACCGAGTGGTCAATGGTGTGGGTTAGAATAACAATATTTGTCTTAGAAATGTAATACCTCTCTATTTAATAAAAAAAATCGAGTTGTCCATTATATATAACTCAACTCAAATTTAATTTTTTTTAGTCAAGTAGAATTTATAAAATTATAATTTTAATCAAATTGAATTGATTTTTTTACATGAAATCAAATTGAAATTTTTGATTTTTTTTTTAAAAAAATTGGCTCGAATTTTATACATCCCTAATGGGTGCATATTCTTTAGGAATGGTAGCCATTGTTAGCCAATGGACGTTAATTTGGGAGTGACGAAGGACAACAAAAATGGAGCACCAGATGATAATGGCAGAATCAAATCATTACTCCGGAGAGAAAAAAAGACCATTGAATTGATTGTTCAAAATCTGAAAAGTTGAGAATCTGATACGATAATAGTATGTACTATGGGACAATGAAGTCTACCCAGTAATTTAATCAACCTTTCTAATTACTCGATTCTTACATTTTGACACTAACTAACACTTTACGAATTTGTTATGTTGAAATTCTTACCATATCTGTTTCAACTTTTTATTGTTCGTCAAAGCAATGAGTATATAATAACAACTTGATTATTCAAGCAAAATTAAACAAGTTACTAGAAATTCTCAACTAAAAAAATTAATCAACTCCATCTTCTTTTTAAGATTCTTTGAATTAATAAATTTCATTAGTTAATTTTTTGGGATAAATTTAGGGTAAATAGAAGGTAACATGTTCAGATACTCTCAACCATTTAACAATAAATGTTTATATTTTGACATCTACGTGTTCGAACATAAAACATCAAGGATAACAATAAGTTCATTAATCACTAAGGTCGCTTGGTTTGTGTCATTAGTTAAAATTTTTAACCATAAGTTTCATCGTTTGCTAACTTTATATACGAGTTTCAAATATCACCCATCTAAGTCCAAATTTGTTTTTTCGTAACTTAAAATTTGCTTTACTTTTCTGTTGAAATCAAATAAGATTCAAATTGCAATATTTTAAAAGTATATTTTGATCATTGAGTTATATCATCAAAGATATCATTATAAACTCGTTTTTAAATCATATTTCTCTATTAATATAGATTCGAAACAAAATCAAATATATTCTCAAATTATCATTATACGTCAGAACTGCGGTGGATTTTTTTATAAAAATAATAGATAAATAAAATATTTCTCTTACATGTATTAGGTGTGGTGATAAGACATAGCAAAATTAATTTTATCAAAGAATTGAATTTTATAAATGAAAAAAGAAGAAGAAGAAAAAAAGAGTTGCGCTTAATTCTGAGGTTGAAATTGGAGTTGGATTTTAAGGACTTTCAAAACTGGGCCAATCAAAGAGGAAATATTGGGCTAGTTTGAGAGAACCATCTTCTCACTTGTTTTAGGGTAAAATTAAACCCTAAAAGAAACGCCTCTTATATTCATATTCTCGGCACCAAGAGATCAAGAACGCTAAACCCCGTGGAAGCAAGCCAACTGCAAAAGGCTGCTTCGAAATCTCAACTTTTCCTCTCACCTTTCTGTAGCCGCCGCACCTCTACTCGCGCATTCCATGGCTGTGAGTTTTTTTTATGTTTATTAATATTTTAGGTTTCTGCTATATTTTCTGGAAATTTATTGATTAATCACTTTGGGGGTTAAGTGATCTAGATAGCTAATTTATTTTATTCGTCATTTTTTTCTCTGTGTTCTTTCTTTACTGTAACTTGGCATCTAAATTTCAATTTCTGTTTAAACATTGTAGACAATACCAGTTAACCCGAAACCGTTCTTGAACAATTTGACTGGAAAGACTGTTATAGTGAAGCTCAAGTGGGGGATGGAATACAAAGGTAATTCCATGGTTTTCTTTTCTTAATATGTTTAATTACTTAATTTTATCTTTTGTTTTTAGTTGTTATTCTAACTTCGTGCTTGTTTCTGTGCTTTTTGCAGGTTTTCTTGCCTCTGTTGATTCATACATGAATTTGCAGGTGTGACATTAGTTTCTGTAAATAGCATAAAACACATCGAAATTACCATACAACTAGGTCATTTGTTTAATTACATTTTAGGTGTAATGTTTTTGTTTAAACTTGGAATCTGGAGACAACATTTTTTTTAATTACCTTTAGCTTATTATTTTGAAAAAATGAAGAGAAACTTCTCACAGTGTTGCATGGTCACTTTTGCTAACACTTCTCAATGAATTGTTTTTTCCCTTTCTTTTTTGGAAGCTTGGGAATGCTGAAGAGTATGTCGATGGACAGTTCACTGGAAATTTAGGGGAAATTTTGATCAGGTGATTTATTGCAAAAGCTAGTTTGTTCTTCCTTTCATTATTTTATGAGGGCATATTGTTGTTGTGGTTATATTAATCTTTAGATATTATTGAATGTGTGGACTACTTTATGTCAGGAGTAATCTTTTCCTTACTCTCACATTATTACAGAATATTTCCTGGATAATATGTGTTGTTTTCTTGCAATTCTGTTAGCTAGTTTGTTCTTCCTTTCATTATTTTATGAGGGCATATTGTTGTTGTGATTATATTAATCTTTAGATATTATTGAATGTGTGGACTACTTTATGTCAGGAGTAATCTTTTCCTTACTCTCACATTATTACAGAATATTTCCTGGATAATATGTGTTGTTTTCTTGCAATTCTGTTCTAGGTAATACACTAGTTTATGTACCATGAGCTTTCCCTGCACTGGCTTTAATAATAAGTAGATATTGTCATTTAGGGTTCCATTTCTGATTTGGTTGAGTACTAAAGACTATAAGGTTGACATCAATTGCTGATTTGTTATCTCTTTAAAGGATTGACAGAAGCATCTACTTTGTTAAACATCAAAGAAGTTATTAAATTGTTACCATAGGCTGTCTTTGCTGATGTGTCTGAAAATTTCATGTTGTGACAGGCTCCTGTTGAACTTTATCTGCCAACAACACAAGTTCTAAAACATTGTTTAGAAAAGAATGCAGTGACTGTTTTTTTAATTAACTGATAACATGTGAACTATGTGCTACAGATGCAATAATGTTCTCTATCTTCGTGGGGTACCCGAAGATGAAGATATAGAAGATGCTGATAAGGATTAGACTGGTTCACGTATGGTCTAAAAAGAAGCTTTGGCCATTACATTAAAAGCTGCTGTAACTTTTGGTTATCATGGTTGAAGGTCAGTATGTCATTTGATCGACCAAGCAAAACTGCTGTGTAGTTAACTGTGCTTTGTTTGACTGCTTTTGCGAACATTATTTGGGATATTGTGTCTTTAGGATTCTTGATATATGTAGTGTGGAGAGCAGGCTTGCTATTCTATTTCAAACCATTTGCTCCGGAAAGAAACTGCATTTGATGGCCAACTTATTTGAGCTTTATGCCAACTAACATCTCATTCATGGTTGTGGTTACAAAATTTTGCTCGGAGATCATGGACCGACATGATGCCAACGTTCTCATATAGAATGCATCATCCACCAGTGTGACATTCTGTCCTCTAGGTACAGTAACAGACAGAATGGTGACTGCTATTTCCAGCTCCCTCATTTGATAGATTTCTTTCACGATATTCTAAGACTACCTTCCTAGTTGATTTTAGGGTTTAATTTTTGATCGATCTGGCATCGCCTTTTAACTCTACTTCCAGTAAGCTCCATTAGGATCATTGAGCAAATCTCAGCGAATGTAAACCATTTTATGAAATATTATATTAGAGAGGGTACACTACAAATATCAGAGCGCAACCAACTTGAAAATAGTTTGGCTGAAAAATAAACGTCATGTTTTTTGGTTGCTTAACGATCTATGCAATGAGCGGATCATGTCATGATGAGGTATATGTTTTTAATCAGAGGTTGAATCGGTCATCATAAGAAGATTTAGGCCAAGAATTAGGATACATTATGGGAAAATAAAACTTCCATCGAAGAGAAGCAAATGAAATGAAAGGCTTTCATAAAATTTCTCGTAGAATGTAGAATGAAATTTTCATTTTGTACATGTCAGATCACGAATTAGTAACTGCATTCTATCTTTAAAAATCCCAATTGTTTTGAACTTTCTATTTTTAGAATGGAATACTCCCCATGAATAGAATCTAACCCGCGACATGAATACAGTAAGTGGCTATGATTTATCATGCTAATCCACCAATCATTACCTGATGAATTATCTGCCATTCCAAACGGAGCCACAATTTCTGTATTTCGCTTCACCGCTATTCGCTCTACCGCCTCATTGTGCATCTAAAAGTAAAATCCAAGTTCGTTATGTTGTCAATCTATGCTTTTTTGTCTACACGAAAGCTGAGTTCCATACCCACTAACCATGGTGTTTAGTCAATTCCCTAAGTTCAAATTGCAGGAACAAAGGAAATTTTACATAACTGTTTACTTTGGGATCTGAACCCTAAAAAAGTGTGCTAAATTTCATTAGAAAAAGAATTGTATGAAATGGTTGAGATACTTCATGTTATTTTTTTTATTAAAATCGTATCATGCAATTACATTTGTACAAAAAAAAATCAAATGTGTTACACATCGTATGTAATAATTGAATGATAAAAAGTAAATTTATTAATGTTTGAATTAATAAATGATTGACTATTTCTATAAATATAATTTACCTGGGATTATAGAATCAATGTGTAAACTAGCTAACTTAAACTTATGTTATAATTGATCGCAGATATTGGTAATGCCATTTTCAAATGTAGCTGTAGAAAGCAATAAGATTATTTTCATGCTTAATTCAGAATATCATATACATTTGTTGATCATGAAATTTTAATTTTCTTCAATTATTTATTTATTTTATTAATTATGTCCATCATAATATTTCATTTGTACTCACTCATACAAATATATATTTATTTACTCTCAAAAATAATTTTTGATCCGTCATTAACAATTTCCAATGAAGAGGGTCTCGAATCACTTTGGACACAAGGGTCACAAATAAAGTGGTCTAGCATGGAAATGGCCATCCTCCAATATCAAATCAAATTGCTTAAAGAGCAGAGTCTGAGTCTCTTTTACAGTTAAACATTTTCAAGCAAAACAGGTGAACCAAAGAAGTAGCTTCTCTAAATGCCTTTCCAATTGCTTAAACATACAAGATTATGTTCTTAACTTGGTGCCTTCAATCTCCCAAGGTTAAGTGTTTATCTTGAATGTAAATCTAAGTTATATATATATATATATATTTAAAAAGTTGGTTTCGACGCTATTGAAAGTTACCCGAGTCTGGCAAGAAAAAGAAATAGAGAATTATTAGTTTATAAATCATTATAAAGTATATTCATAGTAGAGTTTTCTTTGTTTGTGAACTTTACAAATTAATTTCGCTGGTTATAAATAAAATGGTGAAATAAATTCTAAAAAGGAAAACGACGATGAAGGTGCAAAATAATATTTATTTTAAAAGTAAATATGTAATGTCATTTTTGGAACAATCAATGTATTCTAAAAATCATTGGCGGTTGCCAAGTGTATGGATGATGAAAAAAGTGATTGGAGTGTGAAATCAGCGTATTTTGTTTTAAAGTAATTTGTTGATATAGTTATTGGGTCAAATATAAAAGGCGATTTTCTCGATATATCATCGGTGACTGGTAATATTATTGATCTAATACCGGTTAGACTATATTTTTTGATCTAACACCCTTAGTAGTAAAGCGCCTCCTGCACCGCGCTATACGATGATTTGGCGTCACGTGGGGTATAGCGCGCCCCTGCACCGCGCTATACGGTGAGCTGGTGCCACGTGGGTATAGTGCGGCCCTTGCAGCGCGCTATACGCCACGTAGGGGTATAGCGCGGATCAGATACCGCGCTATACTTTTACTGCATAATTTTATATAGCTCGGGGCAGGTACCGCGACATACCTTTACTCCTGACATAATTTTATATAGCGCGGAGCAGGTACCGCGTTTTGTATAACTTTTCTCGCTATAAATACCATTCTACGTCGGTTAATTTCTCACATCTCTCCTCTCAACTTATAAATTAATACAACAATTCCGTCAACGAGTCAATAATTCTGGCAATCTTCTCATATTTTATTTAGAAGTTCGTGCGATTTTTCGTTATAAGGTAATTTTGTTATAATTTTTTATTATATTTATTGTTTATTATGATTATTTGAAAAAAATATTATACTAATTATTTTCAATTAATTTTTGTGTTTGTAAAATTGGAAAGCGGGAGCATATGTCGAAATAGTTTTGCGGTGCAGGTAATAATATTAAATTATATTATTTAATTTATTTACGTTGATGTGTAAAAATTTTATTGTGTTATATGTTCGTTCATATATAATTTATTAAATCAGGTTTGTTCATTTATTTTTTTTGCAGATATAATAGTGCCGCACTTTTAAACTCAAATAATGACGCGACTTTCAGCTATTGTTTATTATGATGGTGAAATTCGAGAATATGAAACCGGCGTTGTTTTCGTATCAAATGAGCGTGTTAAAATATCATTCAAGAGAAACATAACTCTTGAGGAGCTGATAACGAAGATTTCGAGGAAGATTCATGTTGGAAGTAGTAGAAGAGTGTCGTCGTTGCAGTATAGATTTCCAACATCATTGTTGCCATTAACTTATACAGCGTTCGAACTTTCGAACAATGATGATGTTGAAATGATGGTTGAAGCTCAAAGTAATTATTCAGACGCCGCTATTGAGATGTATGCACATTTTGTTCAAGTGCGTGCTGTTCGGGGTCAATCATTAAGCTCCCACTATGGGCTGACTGAACAAGTTGATCAAGTTGACAGCCTGACGACAATAATGTGTAATGATTTTAATGCCATAATGGGGAGACATTCATCCGCAACTCCTTACGATATGTACCGAGGTAGGTCGACGAACAATCCGTATGGCAACATCGTGTCCAGTTCAAGGGGAAGGCATTCATCTGCAAATCCCTTTGACCTTAATATGGAGATGCCATCGACGCAACCATCTGTGCAGTTTCCATTTGACGCAATGACTTCAAGCTCTAGGGGGAGGCATTCGACTGCGAGCTTTTTCGATCTCAATGTCGATATGCCTTCCAGTTCAAGGGGAAGGCGTGCAAGTAGTAGGTTCTTCAACCTAAATGTGGAGAGCATGGAGGAACCATCACCTCCACCAGAAGAACCGCTTCGTGAGTCTGGTGCGGATGGTGCTGAGACTGGATTATTCATTGACCTAGAATCACCGCAATTCAACTCCGATGATGATGAAGTTCCAGGAAATGTGGCACAAACTGACCCTCCTGCACACATGTATGAAGCTGATTATGGTGCAATGTACGTGCCAGAATTTGCGGATATGCCTCATCTCGGTGACCATGGGTATTACTCATCAATAAATAATGGTGAGTTATCTTTAGGCATGGAGTTTTCAAGCAAAGAAGAAGTGATGATGGCTATCAAAAATTACAATATCCATAATTCTGTTCAGTCCAGAGTAGACCGCTCCACGACCGAAAAATATGTATGCTATTGTGCCCAACGCGAAAACGGATGCAATTGGATGGTTCGCGTATCGAAGAGGAAGAGGAAAAACAACAGATGGGAACTAACAGTATACAACGGTCCTCACACATATTGTGCTGGAGGGGTCAACCAAGATCATCCTAACTTGGACTCTGAAGTGATATGCCAAGCCATCATGCCCATGGTCAAAGCAAGTTCTCATATAGCTGTTGTAGTGTTGATTTCAGCTATACAATCGCAGTATGAGTACACTGTCTCCTATAAAAAAGCTTGGTTGGCAAAACAAAATGCCATTGTCAAACTTCATGGCGAATGGAATGCATCTTACAACGAACTTTCAGGTTGGTTTAGGCTGGTGCAAATGTTGAATCCTGTGACAATTGTGGACTTCAAAACCTCCTATGCATACCATAATGATCGAGTTCTTCACGATCGATGCCAATTCTACAGGGTTTTTTGGAGTTACCCACAGTGTGTTAATGCTGTCAAATACTGCAAGCATGTGGTCCAGATCAACGGGACTTTCTTGTATGGAAAATACAAGCAAGTTTTATTATTGGCAGTTGTCCAAGATGACAATCGCAACATTCTTTTAGTTGCTTTTGCTCTTGTCGAAGGAG